TTCGTCAGGGGGCGAGGCTATCAGGAAGGCCAGGGCTTTATAAAGCAGTGAGCAAGCGACCAGAGAGCTTTGTGGACAAGGGCCGCTAACAGGGAGTTTTGAGAGGGAGTTTGGGAAGGGGGCGAGGTACACTTGCCATTCTTTAAAACCTTTAAACTAACCTATAATCAAAACTTCTTGATTTAAACAAAAACCCTATCATTAACCTAGGTAGCTGTAGGAGAGAATGCAGGCTGAAGCACAGCAGCAGAGAGGGGGCTATCCTGTTTATTGCACTCAGTGTAGAATGTATGATTACCTGCTCTGTGGGTGGGTGGTGTATATGTGCTTTCGGTGCAAGGAGCTCCTGGCCCTCAGAGACCGCGTACTGGCTTTGGAGACCAGGGTGGCGGAACTGGATGAGCTAAGGGAGGCAGAGAGGTATGTTGATGAGGCTTTCCGGGACACTGTAGATTTGTCCCACTTCCGGTCAGACTGCCCCTGTGCTGTTAAGGAGGATGAAAGGCTCAGGGAAGGAGAGCAGTCAATGGGAGCAAAGGGAAACCTTCCCATAGTTGGGACCCTCCTTCCAGATGATGTTGGGGTATCCTCTCGCACTGAGGTTACCTCTCGGGGAAGGGAACTCCAGTCATTAGGGAAAGGCAGGTGTTAGTAATGGGAAATTCGATCATTAGAAACATAGATAGCTGGGTTTGTGATGACACAGGAGAAGCGTATGGCTTGCGGTGACTTGCCTGCCTGGTGTGAAGGTTACGGATCTCTCGAGGCATCTAGATAGACTTATGTGTAGTGCTGGGGAGGAGCCGGTGGTCGTGGTACATGTAGGTACCAATGACATAGGGAAGGGTAGGAGAGATGTCCTGGAGGCCAAATTGAGGCTGCCAGGAAAGAGACTGAAATCCAGGACCTCTATAGTAGCATTCTCAGAAATGCTTCCAGTTCCATGCGCAGGGCCAGGTAGGCAGGCAGAACTTCAGAGTCTCAATGCATGGATGAGACAACGATGTAGAGAGGAGGGGTTTAGATTTATTAGGCACTGGGGAATCTTTTGGGATAGGGGGAGCCTATACAGGAAGGATGGGCTCCACCTAAACCAAAGTGAATCCAGACTGCTGGCACTTAACATTAAAAAGATTGCAGAGCAGTTTTTAAACTAAGAGATAGGGGAAAGCCGATTGCTGCAGAGAAGCATGTGGATTGGACAGAGACTTCTCTTAGAGGAGAGTCTAATGATAGAGATTCTCTAGGTTTTAGTCAGGAGGAGCGGCTGGAAGAGGATAAAGTATGGGCCAGATCAGATGAGAAACATTCACATAAAAAAGAATCTGACACATCAGAAAAGGGCAGACAAATAAACAGTGACAAATTTTTTAAGTGCTTGTACGCAAATGCTAGAAGTCTAAATAATAAGATGGGTGAACTAGAGTGCCTCATGTTAAAGGAGGATATTGATATAATAGGCATCATAGAAACCTGGTGGAGTGGGGACAATCAATGGGACACAGTCATTCTGGGGTACAAAATATATCGCACGTACAGAACAGGTCGTGTCAGGGAGGAGGAGGAAGGGGCAGTGATAGAAAATGTAGAATCAAATGAACTAAAAATCTTAAATGAATCTCTATGGATAGTAATTCCATGCTCTAATAAGAATATAACAGTAGGAATCTATTATCGACCATCTGACCAGGACAGTGATAGTGACGATGAAATACTAAGGGAGATTAGAGAGGCTATCAAAATAACAAACTCAATAATAGTGGGGGATTTCAATTACCCCCATATTTACTGGGTACATGTTACCTCAGGACAAAATGCAGAGACAAAATTTCTCGATACTTTAAATGACTTCTTCCAGGGCCAGCTCCAGGCACCAGCCCACCAAGCTTGTGCTTGCGGCGGCACCTGGAGGGGGGCGGCCCGGCCCGGCGCGGTGCTCCGGCTCCGGCCACCGGGGAGAGCGAAGCCGCAGTGGGCTCGCCGCCCTCCCCCGGTGCTCTGGCCGCCGGGGAGAGCAGGGCCGCGACTTGGCTCGCCGCCCTCCCCCCGGCGCTCTGGCCGCCGGGGAGAGCGGAGCCCCGGCCGGACTCGCCGCCCTCCCCCCGGCGCTCTGGCTGCCGGGGAGAGCGGAGCCCCGGCCAGGCTCGCCGCCCTCCTCCCGGGGCTCCGCTATATTATTATTAACTATATTATTACTTGTTCCAATAATATAAGAACTAGGGGCCACCAAATGAAATTAATGGGCAGCAGGTTCAAAACAAATAAAAGGAAGTTCTTATTCACACAGCACCCAGTCAACCAGTGGAACTCCTTGCCTGAGGAGTTTGTGAAGGCTAGGACTATAACAGGGTTTAAAAGAGAACTAGATAAATTCATGGAGGTTAAGTCCATTAATGGCTATTAGCCAGGATGGGTAAGGAATGTGTCCTTAGCCTCTGTTTGTCAGAGAGTGGTGATGGCTAGCAGGACAGAGATCACTTGATCATTACCTGTTATGTTTACTCCCTCTGGGATACCTGACATTGGTGACTGTTGGTAGACAGGATACTGGGCTGGATGGACCTTTGGTCTGACCCAGTATGGCCATTCTTATGTTCTTATTTGTCGTCTGTCTGGGAAAGAAGTTAGTTATGGTGCCAACATGTTACACTCTCTTGGGTGGATGGGCAGAGATGAGGGATTATTATGCAGAAAGGCACTTATTAGGTTCCATCAACCAGTTGTGTGACCTATAGACAACTGCAGAGGAGCAGGAAGCTGTGATAAAGATGGCAGGGATTCTGTGATCCCCATTTCCCCCAGATCAGTAGGATTCTAATCACTGATGCCTAGAACATTACTTGAAATTTTGGAATTGAGCAGATGTGGCATTCAAAAGGTATTGTGTTACATCCAGAGAAATGCTGTTGAGTGCCAGCTCAGCCAATTAGGAGTGAATGGAATGATGCAACAGTTAAAAGAGAGATCCAGATATTGGAATTTAGGAATTGGGTTTTAGTACTGGACATTGGGGAGCTGAATATGAAATTACATTGATGGTAACAGTAAGTACATTATATAATTACGCCTGGAGGTCTATCCTATTGGTGTCTGACTCGCATTGTTGAGTAACTCAGAAAATCAGCTCTTGAAATTCTGTTCACACATATGGAGTAACCAGTTCTGAAAGCTAAAGGGGTGATGCATTGTGCTATGTGCTGGAGTTCAAGATCTTTATGTTCGATCAATATTTTGAGGGGAGTCGGGGACAAAGATGCCTTTAGGAAGCTGCCTTGAACTGAATGTTCTCCAGATTGGTACCACAAGTCATCCTCCTTGAATGAGGAACTCACAAGAGTTTTGTGTTCTATAAAAGTGACACTTCAACAGAAGCAATGTCAAAGCACTGTTGAATAATGAATACGTAACGTCTTGATGGATGGCTATCTACTAATTATTTCAGAGCAGGAGGCCTTGCAGTACAGACACCAGCTTATCAGGGTGAAGTCATTGTCTGAATTTATAGCACCTGAAGGGCAACTGTTCAATACTGACTCAAAAATATGTTTTTAAAGAGTATTATTTTTATTAAAGTGCAGGTGAATAGTAGTGAAGCAATCACTTCCTAGAGTCTTGTCCACTAAAATAGCAAGCAGAGAATCCACTGGCTTTCTAACATTAATCACTAAACTTGTGAATATAACCCCAATGCAGCAATAACTATTAAAATATTAATTAGGTTTCATGTTAAATTGGTGATTTCAAACTCTCTTCTTTATTTTTTTTCCCTGTAAATTAAGTGTAGGTGACTTCATACAGAGGACCTGGTCCAAGATTTTTTCAAAAACAGGAATCTAAAGTTAGGCTCCTAAATCAATATTTTGGCACCTAAATAAATGGCCTGATTTTCAAAAGTGGTGAAGTAAATAGCAGCTGAAGATACTCAGCACTTTTGAAAATCAGGCCACTTATTTAGGTGCCAAAATATTGATTTAGGAGCCTAAACTGAAGCACTTCTATTTGAAAATCTTGGGTCTGTAATGGATCACAAATAAATTACAGCTAGGTTGCTTGTGTGTTTTTTCCTTCCAGTTTGTAAATTGTAGCCTGGCCATTTTGAGGATGAAATAGAACTACTTATCCAGGTCCACCATTTGGGTAGCCATAGCTTGCTGACTGTTCCAAGGAGGATGTTCCCCACTCTTTGCCTTTCGCTATAGATTTTGATCTGGTTCATCTCGCTACAGTTATATATTCTGTCCCCATATATAAAGTTAAACACAAACAAAAAACAAAAGTGGCTGGGCTCTTTTTAGTTTGTTATTAAATATTATTTGTATCTGATAGCATCCAAGATATGATGGGTGACTTCCCAACAAAGACAAGGCATAATCCTAAATTTACACTCTAAAGGCAGGCAGACAGACAAAAAGACTGTTGTTGGGGGTCTATGTTCAACATCTAAACAGAGTGGTCAAAGTGGTATTTGGCTACATCTTGGGCTCGATGCTCTATATCAGAATGACAAAAGTGGGGGTACAAGAGGGAGTTAAACATGGTGTGTGTGTGCGTGCGCGTATGCGTGCAGATATGCCAACTCTTATGAATTAATCGCAAGAGATGCGATTTCTAAGTAAAATTAAGCCTGACTCATGATCTCGCTGAAAAAAAAAAATCCTGATATTTGAGAGTTCTGGCCCGAGATCATGAATCAGGCTTATCAATTTTACTTAGAAATCACTGTCAGTCAGCTGCCCAGAGCTGACAGTGGGAGCCACAGCCAGCCAGGGATGACACCAGGAGTCCATCCTCACAGGGAGGGAAAGAAAGAAAATAAATAATTTAAGAAATAATACAAGCTTCACTGTTTACATTTTTACATAGTGTTTTTCTTGTCAGGACTTTTTCTTTTTTTAATTTTATTTTTATTGTTTTTATATAAAACACAACAAAACAAAACATATATAAATATATACAAGATGGAAATAGCATATAAATAACAAAATTTAACATTCCTTATTTGCAAAACCAGAAAAAACAAAAATACAAACAACCCCACCTCTGAACCCATATAGGTCACGCAGGGCATTAATTATTAAAGTCACTAAATAGATAAATAAGTGGGAACATAATCTATGAGTATCAGGGACTAATATATACTAAACTGCAAAAGTATGCAATAGTCATGTGTGACCAGACATCCTCATATTTTTTCCCAAGCACTTCTATTTAGACAGTCATTTTTTCCATTAATGCAGTAGTGGAGAGCTCACTAAGCCAGTTTGCATATGAGAGAGGAATTGCAGATTTCCATTTTCTCAAAATAACTCTTTTGGCCACTAAAATAGTTACTGCAATCCACTTCTTAATGTTAACTGGTAATAGCAACTCACCCAGCACCCCTAAGATACACAAGCTTGGAGAAGAAAAGATAGCAACACAAAGTTTTTGAGAGAGAGTATAGAGGATGTGTGAAAAGTTGGCATGTGGCTGTTTGCATCTTCTCTTCCTGCCTGGAACCCTGCCTTTTGTCCATCTTCCCAGCATTCATTTAGGCTATGATGATGAACTGAGCCAAATAAGCCTCTTTTAGGGAACTTTTCCCTTTCTCAAATAATACAAAAGCCTACTATTTATGAGAGGAATCCCACCTATTCTATCTGGGCCTGCATGGGTTATAAACAGGTTTGATACTGTAAATGTCCTGTATTACACAGGTTTTATGGCTGATCTGATTCCCCATCCAGGAAGAATGGATGGGGAATCACTTCCACTGTGGTCTGTGATTCTTTGAATTCCTGCTCCAGATGATTTTTTAGCTCCTTAAGTTCTTGCTGCAGTTCATCATTGTTAGCAAGTTCCAAGTTGGCCAAAGCTTTCTTGGTCACCATTATTTCCTGGTCCAAGGTAGTTAGGTTGCTAGTCATCTCACTAATCCAGTTTACCAGTCCAAATAGAGGGTTTTGTGGTTGGGCTTCCAAATTTGCCTAGATGCTTTTTGGCTGATGCCACAACAATAATGTTATCTCTGACTGCAGGTCAACTCTCAGTCACTTCCAGGAAACCTCCAGATATTTCCTTAATTCCTTTTGTGAAATCTCCAGCTTTTGTTTAATTCTTGTTTTTGGTCTTGTTTTAATTCCATTTGGTCAACTTTGATTTCTATGAGCACCTCTCATTTGTTCCAGTTTACTTCAACTGGAATATTAGCTCACAATTTCCCTCCATAGGGACTTTATCCCACTACTGGCACCAGAGTTACCCCTTTAGCTCAAGCAGTTAGCCAATATTTGGGGCCTTGCTGAGTTCCTCCTATTAGGAGGAGAAATTGATTACACAAATCACTTATTTCTTTGGTGCAGTCTTGTTTATTTATAAAGAATGCACATGAAGTCCAGTTAGCCTGAAAGAAGAGTGATTAGTACACCTATCAGCTTTAACCAGACTGCAATTGATGGCAGCCGTTAACACCCTCCAGAACAACAGTATTATAGTGATGTGACTGTGACACTATACTTCAGTTAACAATTTAATAACACATGTAATCTTAATCCCTGTTTCCAATTACTATAAAACTTTGTCTAAAAATGTCTTTTGGATCAAAAATATCTCCTGCTTGGCATCAGCCTCCTAATGACATTTTTGACACTTTAAAAAAAAAACTTGCTTGTCTCTTTTGAAATTAGCTATATATAAAAACAAGAAAATCAAACCAGCCAACACCCAGCCATATCTGTGTGTATTGGTTCACAATAAATATTTTCTTATTCTGAAAACATAATAATAAAGCAGTTTAGAAAAAAATGTAAAGCTAATTTTCTAGTTAGTTCACCAGAAGAGTTTTATAGTATTTTCTCCTTGAATTGAAAGCACTGATACAGTATTCAGTGGCCTAAACTCTGTGGTGCATCTCTATGTACTGTAAAGGAGTCACTGCAGGGTTGAATTCAGCCTAGTACATTTTCTCAGTTAAGCAGTTGGTTAAGATTTTAATTACTTTTAAGATGGAACACAGGCTCTCCATTCCCATGATCAGCCCTTCTGCACCTGCTGCAGGCTGAATTCATAGTTCTACTGAGGTCAATGGGACTACCCAAAGTGTATTAAGTTAAGAATATGCGTACATTTTTTGTAGAATTCTGGTCTTAGTTAGTGTCTATAATTCTGAACATCATTCTTACCAGTATTATGCACGGCACTGTAGGCTTAATTTTACAAACATTTTTCAAATTTGGTATTCACTAATTCCAGTCTGACCTGGTGCAACAGAACATTTTCTTCAATGTACTCCGTAATTCTGGACTTCGGAACGCATAAATCATAGGGTCAATGATGCCATTGCACAAGATGAGTGTAGCATTCACATGGAAAATGGACATGTAACAAGCACAGTAAGGGTTAAGTGGGCAAAACTTCATGAGGAGGATGTGAAGAAGAAAGGGTCCCCAACAGCAAAGGAAAACACCAAATAAAATAGTTAATGTAATAGCTCCTTTCAAGTTAACTCTCTGGGGAACTGCACTGGTAGGCAGTGAAGCAATCTTTTTGGCATGAGTTCGTGCAAGCAGGAACATGTGGATATAGAGGCATAATATAAAAATTAACATAAAAGGAAACAGAATAGTGAAGGAAATGACTGTAGCTGTTTCATGGGAGAAGATGGTCATAGCAATGCCACTCCCCGCACAGAATGTCCAAATTACTGCCAGGATGATTAAAGCACGATTCAGTGTCATGATGTTATGATACTGTAATGCAAAAAATATAGTTATGTATCGGTCAGCTGCAATGGCTAACAAGCTGAAAACTGACCCCAGCAAAGACAGAACAAATAAAGAATCCATGACATCATCTATCTTGGTCTCTAAGTCTCCACGAGGTGTCAGATACCCCATTTTGCCTAAGATGATCAAGATGTTCTCCAAAGTTTTGTACAGACTGACCAACATATCCGAAACTGATAAACTGCAGATAAACAAGTACATGGGCAAGTGGAGATTCTTATTCTTGATCACAGCTATAAGGACAAGTAGGTTCTCCAGTATTCCAGCAATGGCAATTGTGAAAAAGACTTCTTCTGGTACTACAACCTGGGTGCAGTCACTGTTCATGGAGAGATTGCTGATATTTTCAAATGAAGGAATGCGTGTCTGCCCTAGGAGTCTCATTATTTGAGAAGCACTATCAGGCCTCATTTCTTCTGCTTGTAGAAAAATATGTGATTACTCAGGCGTGACTTCATTGAGAAACCGACCTGTCATTCGGATAATCTTTTCTGTGGTGAAGCCTTTCTGGTTCTATCTTGAGCAATTGTAAGACTTAAGCGAGACGTATTCAGCCACCTATGATAAAATATATAGAAAAGTAAGTGAGAGGAAAATTAATACATCTCTGTGACAAAATTAGATATTTTGAAGTTCAACCTATGAATTTACTGTGATGGAATGAATGTTTTTCATCAGTAAACTGGTTTGGCTAAAGTAAGAGTTGTCCTAAGCATCAGCTCAAACCTCAAAGGAAAATGAAATGTTAACTCCTTTCAAGGCTGAATAAAGATAAGTATATTTCCCTTCTTATTTGGCCTCCTACATTTGCTGAAATCGATCCCAGACTCCCTGAATATCTGGCAATGTTCACTTGCCTAGCTGCTTACTTTGAATAATTTTGGTACTTCTCACAAGATTGACAATATTACATGAAACAAACTAGATAAATGCCAACTGAAGCTGATGTGTAGGGCAACAGCATATTTATCTTGTTTTGAGGCAATGCGTGGGGAGGCATGTGGGGTCACGTGCCCCTCACCCCCCAGATTTGCTGCCTGGCTTGTATTGAGCATGCTCACACAGACTGAGCATGCTCAGTAACAGTGCTGAAGCCAGCTGCCCTCACTCTGCCCCACCACTGTCAGCAGGCATGGGTCATCTCTGCTTGTTCATATATATAACATATGAAAACTTGTAAATATTTTTCATAGGTACATTAGAGATTATTTTGCTGGAGGAGCTGTCTGAGGCCACTTTTCAAGTAAACCGAAATGTTCTTCTGATTTGGCAAACATAACAGTAATTTAGGTTCAGATCCAAAGGAAATTCTTGAACAAATTTTACAGCCCAGCCCAAATACTGTACAATTTGTTCAAGAATTTCCTTTGGATCTCAATCTAAATTACTGTTATGTTTGCCAAATCAGAAGAACATTTTGAAAAGCTGAAAGCCTTGCTTCAGTGTACTTGATGCTCTTTTTCCATTATGACCTCAATCCAACCCCCAGTAAAGTCAACAGGAATCTTTCCATTGACTTTAAGGGGAATTGGATCAAGCTCTGTATGCCCTTAGCTAGGGTTACCAGGGCAACTGTGAAAAAAACGGGACGGGGGGGGGTAATAGGCACCTAAATAGGCCCCAAAAACAGGATTGTCCCTTTAAAAATGGGACATCTGGTCACCCTACTTGTAGCTATTCATTTAGATGTAAATTGGTGGATTACTTTGTCCTTGGGACAATAGGACCTAGATCTTTCTGTCATTATTATGCCCCCCAATTACAGAATACATTTACTGTTGCTATTCAGAATGCCCACTTTTGGTTCATAATTAAAACCAGCAGAAGAAAGATTTTTAAGCTATATAAATCTGGGATCACACCTCTTCATATGCCTAACCAACATAGCTATACGAACAGAAGTCTGTAGTGTAGATATAGCCTTAGTTTTAAGGGGGCACACATAAAAGCCTTGTTTATGCTATACTCTCCCTCCCACTGCAAACCTCCTGTTATTGACAACAGATGTCAGCAATAAGTGCAGCTGAATTTGTGCTTGATATGGTTTAGCCACAATATAGACAACTGTGTTCAGCCCCATTTCAGTAGCCAATGGCTTTGACCACAGTTCACCACTGTTCAGTCACTGAGTTCTCTGCTGCTGAGATTGTTAGCAAAGTTGTAAGTTGTGGTCATGGCTTTTGATAGCCATCAGGAACTGGACTAACACCTCCAATTCACTTCACGTAGGTTTAAAAGAATATGTTCAGGAGAATGCCCGTGTTTATTTGAAAGGCTCTGATGTGGAGTAAATGAGTTACATTATATGGCAGAAATGCACTGCATCTAACTGAAAATTCTCTATTATAAATAAAGCATGGTACTTCAGGAAGTAATTAATAATGAAAATGGGAGATTTAGCTTTGTCTGTAAATTGACAGGGATTTTTCCAGAGAAAAGGCTGGTGAGGTAATATCTTTTATTGGACCAAACTTCTGTTGGTGAGAAAGACAAGCTTTCCATCTCTCTGAGCTACTGCCACAGGGAAGCTTTAGGATTTATAAAGCTAGCAGTCAATTTCAGAACAATTTTATTTTGATATTTGATTCATTTAATAAAAACAGATAAAACTGTAGTTCAATGGGATTTAGGCAAAGTACTTCCCACAGGGAAAAATGCATTTATTAAATCAATGTTTTTTCATATATGGTTTCATTACAAGATCTTTTTGTTCCCATACTCAGCAGATACCACTGAGCTTATTTCCCCTGACCTTCTAGTAAGTAAGGCATCATATTCACACAAATCAATGGCATATTAAAAAGTAGTGGATGCTGTTAAACCCTGGTCGGCAAGAACAATTTGTGTACATTCAATGGCTAGCAGCAGCTATTAATTTTAATAGAATTGGAGGGTGCCTTATAACAGTCAATAAAGCATGGCTGTACAAGTGTTGCTTCACTGGAAATATGATGAACTGAATGTCTACAAAGGTTAATTTGGGGAGTGGGAAAAATGCAAAATAAAAAACAGAATTTCATATTTCTTCTTCTGAATACTTTTTTTCCAAATTTTTTCTTAATTAAAAATAATTGTAACCCAAACAATGACATGTGCGAGGGTTATGCCACTTACTGAACCTTAAATGATATGGGAACAGGCCTGTCTGCCATTGTCCTGAAGTTTTCTGTTCTTTAGAGATTGTGAAGAAAAAAGCCCCTTGTAAAGCAGGTTCTCAAACTTTTCCTAGAGTGGACCGCATCTTAATGGAGCTAGTGTCTGATGGACCAAACTCTCCCCTCTAGTGAGCATCCCATGGACCACCATTACTACTTGCAATCACATAACTTCCTGATGTAAGTACAGTAATTGGTAACAGAAGGGCTTATGGTCTAAATAAACAAGACAGACACAGGCCAGGGGAAGGGCTATAACACACAAGCAGAGCAAACAATGTGATGGCAGCAAACCTCACATTAGTGCTGCAATTTTTTGGGGGGTGGGTTTACTTAGGAGTGGATCAGGTCATTGGAATGAAAAGGGAAGGGCAGGAAGTTGAAGGGGACGGGGCAAGGGAGAACAAAGTAAGAGGAGCAAGTGTGGAATGAAGCTGAGGTGAAGAGACGGTGAGGGAATGGGAGGATTGTGGCAACAGGACAGAGAAATTCCAGTCAAAACTGTAGAAAGTTCTATGAATGTCCCAGCATCCCTGCTTTGGTTGCTTCTGTCTATGGGCTGGAGGGTCTGGCTGGCACCTCTTTGCAGTTTTTCCCCAAGGCCACATGGGGGGTTGGGGAAGGGAGGCACCGCCTAGGTCCTAGTGCCCCCAAAGTATGTATGGGGCATCTCCCCTGCATAGTCCTGGGTCCAGGAGTGGTCCAGGCTGGGCCCTATATTATTTCTTGTCCGTCAGCCCCTGCTTTGGCTACTTCTAACCCTGGTGGCTAGAGTAGCTCCTCTCTGCATTTCCTCCCAAGCCGATATGAGGGTAAGATGGGGAGGCAGAGGTGCTAGTGCTCCTCTTTTTCATACCACTTTGGTAGCTTAAGGCACATTTTCACTGTCAAAGGGGCATAAAGGAGCCTTTGCATAAGTGAGAATCAGGTCCCAGGACTTGATCCTTTGAGGTACTGATCACTCTGAACTCCTACTGGCCTCAATGGGAATTGAAGGCTCTCAGCACTACACAGGATTGAGCCCTTAAACACAATGCAGGGCTCCCTTTGTGTAAATCCCTGTAGATCTGGCCAGAAAATATAATTTTCTGTGCACTACAATTGCACTGAAGAGACGGTAGCACTTGGACGTTTCAGGAGCAAATCAGTTCTGCACTTGAGTTTTTACTGAATAGAGCTTTAGTTCATTAGACTGAAAAAAGAAAAAAGTTATAAATTGGCTCATTTTCCTTTTCTTCTACCTCCAGGTAAGATGTAGTTTCAGCTCTGATCTATAATGCATATAGTGATAAGCCCTTGAGACACACTGAATAAATGGTATTTCTTAAACTTTCATCACTTCTTAGCTTTCTTTGCCATATTTGAATCATTGATATAAAACCTTTGCACTCCAACCTAGAGAGAGGGCAACTATAATTACTCTCTAAACCCGTGGCGGTACATGATACACTGAGCACTGAATGGGTATTGATTTTTCTTGGGTTCTCTTGGACTGCACAAAATGACTACGATAAACTCATCAATAAGGCAGAAATGGTGGATTTACATCAGGCTTGCAGATTTTGTTTATTTTAGAAAAAATGCCACCTATTAGGCTAGAAAGGTGATAAGTTGCATTTTTAGAGATACCGTGGCATTAGCCTTGTTGGCATTCTAAATGATTAAGTATATCTCCTTGATCCAGAAACCACTGCTCCTGTAAAAGCTTTTATCACTAGAGCAGGTTATGCATCTCCAGCATTTCAGTCCTGAAGCTACTCCATTTAATTCAGTGGCAAAACTCCCATTGACTTTGATGGGAGCAGAATCAGGATCTTCATCATCAAGTCTCATTGGAAGTCTGTTCACTTTATTTTCTACCTCTAAAAATAGCCAGTAGTGGAATAATGACTCCATTCAGAGGTGGTTTTGCAAGCTGGGTTTGATTGGTTACATGTAGCGCTGCTTAAAGCATACTTCAGACTTTTTGTAGATGACAGCCCAACTCCTATGTTTGAGATACATTACTGCGGCTAGGAGAAATACAATATTCACTGCTCCCTTTTATAATAAAATATATTTTACAAAAATTATGGCAAATCACCTTTTCCCTTGTTTCCAGTTTTCCAGTAGCATTTGATTATGTGCCATGCCAGTTAAAAGCACTGTTAAAGGGTTTTTTAAAGATATCAAGCAAGTGAGTAGAGGATTTTCTAATGTATTTTCATCAGCATGTAACTAATTGCATTCTTGAAAGCATAGGGAAAAGGAACTGTAATATTCAGGCAAGTAGCAAGGATGTGAAATTCTCTGCACTGGTTCCCTAATGGTCGTAAAACCTTGTCTTCTGTGTGGGTCAGAACTATGCTAGTCCTGGATGAACGTGAAACTGGGTGAGGAAGAGCACAAGGCATTTTT